GTGTGTGTGTGTGTGTGTGTGGTTGCATGCATGAATGTCCTGCCTTTGTGTGTGTATGCGTGTTGAAGTGTCATTGAGCGAGCATAAAGGTCAGTACATCCTGAAACTGATGAATACTTTCCGCTTGTTTGCTGGTTGTTCTGGGAATGTGCTCGAAGAGCATTTTCTTGGCAAGGTCAAGATTTTCTCTGTGTTCATGTGAGAGCTGAGGGAGGAGTATTTTACACTTCACGGCACATCAGACGCTCTGGATTATGACTTATTCATGAGCCGACGATCAGGACGCCGTGGGTGAGAGGATCTCGGCCTCCCAGTTGCTTTTGATGGATATGCATCTTCAGATCTTTGTTACCGCAGCTCTCCGTGCGCCTGTGGAGTCTTAGATATGTATCGTCACCAAAACTGACAGATCCTGGAGTCATGTGCTTCTTTCATGCGATGCTGAGTTTGACTGATGATATTGTTGATTCCCCACAGGATGAAAGCTGAACAGCGGTAATGTGGTTCTAATCTGGAACTGCTCGTTCCCACACTGCTCTGTCGTCCCGACAGAAACCAAGCTTGCCACGTGGGATTGTACACACGTATTGACAGCCTGAAACCAGCTTCCATAGTTTTCCAGTCCTTCATTCGATCCTGCTGCTATAAGACAAACTTTCTCTCAAGGAAAAGCAAAAATACAGGCCATGTTTCAACTAAGGCTACAGATAAATTTGGCGTCCACACTACATGCTGCTAAAAAAAAGTAAGTTGGAAACACTACAGGCCTCGTTTTATTTTGAAAACTCTGCATTGTAATCTGGAGGAATGGAGATGTTTGGAAATATTGACGCAGACACTCTCAAACTCTTGGTGACTGGCTCCTTACGGTCACAACGTAGCTTTCGCTGATTCGTCAGACTCTATCACATGACACCTTCAAGAAGAAATTAGCATCGGATACCACTGCAGAGCTCAACATGGTTAATCAATTACAAGCGTTGCTGACCCTGACGTCTTTGCCAACAGCTGTTGCGCAGTTAAATTCTGCATTTTACGATACAAGTGCTTACATGCGTAAGAGAGATGCTATTATTTACGCAATCTCTGACTATTCCCATGTCCAGAGGCAACTTCAGCCCAACATTGCCCATGCATGCCTTCCTGCGTGTGCTGTGGGTACGTAAGTGGTCATGTGACAATAGTTTCTGGGTGTGTTAGTATCGTTTTAGTTTGGAAGCACTGTTTTAAAGAGAAAAAAATAGAACTATGGCTGTAGCCTTAAGAAATGTAACATCAGTTTGAGTCAGAGTCCTTTCAAAGCCTGACACAGAACAGTGACTAAGAAGCATATGTGGGTCAGTCAGTTGGCCCTTCGTTGGAACAGAGCGCTGAGTAGTAAATCTGGAGTAATTGGTCTAAGATATCAGCAACGGTGCTGGTAGCATGCCAAGGTGCTGAGGTAATGAGCGCTGGCCACTGTAGCCTGTTCTGCAGGATGACAGTGAATGAGGACTGGGGGTGGTTGGTGAAGACATCTGAAGCACAGTTGACCCAGATTGTTATACAAAGGAGAGGTTAGGAGTTAAGAGTTTCCAAGAAACAATTCCATTCATGGACATGAATTAAAAATTTGAGAGATGCTGTAAATTATTTGGTTTCTTTATAATAGGTGTGAGCTAGTCCCAGTTGAGAAAAGGGATATTTGAGCTGATGGATCACCCACAGAGATCAGATGACTCCCTCCCAGCTGATCTGGGCTGGGAGGACTCCATTAGCTCACAGATCCTGAACCAGAAACCTCAAACCAAGGCAATCTGTTCCCTAAGCTGCTGCGTCTGGTCTGGTCTGGTCATGCATCTGAACCACCTGGAAGGAAGACCCTCAAACCAAAACCACAGAGTCAACATTTCAAGGGCTACATAGCCAGTCAAACACGTGGACGGTGGGTGAACCATGAGCCACTGATGAAGGTCTGATTTCCCTCTGAAATCAGGAAAAACCGAGACACAAAACTAGTATGAATCCAGTCAGAGTTGGGCAGGACCAAACGTATCCCTCTCTCATAAAAGAATGCAAGCAGCTGAGCTCTAGGTGAAGCAAGAGAGAATGAAGCAATGTAGCTTTAATACTGAACATACACCACCCCCACTGGAACAATGTTACACACTCGGCTTTTGATTTCCAAATCAATCGCCTGTTAACTCTGCAGGAGTTGTCAGTAGTTCATCGAGGATGTGTCATGACATGGCAGAGCGAATGATGTAAGAACAGCAGGCAAGCTATAACATCAGCCAGAGCAGAGACACCCATGCCCTGCAGTGTTGACTCAGACATTTTCATCACAGCTCATTTATCTGCCTCCAGCAGGCAGATTTTGGGAAGATGTGAAAACTAAACCACATCTACCATCAGAGGCCAAGAGACGGCAACGCCCTCCCCAAAAAATGCACAATACACTAATATGTTATACGTTATGGCCCCCGATGATCGTCCCACCTCCACCTGTAGCCTAAAGGAGGACGAATCCACCTGTTTTCACAACATTTTAAAGGTTCAGTGAGTAGAATTTACTGATATCTAGTTTTGAATTTGCTTGGTGCAGCTGAACACCCCTCACCTCACCCTCTCCTTCCAAACATGTAAAAGAAACTGTGGTAAACTTTAATTGTCATAAAAACTCAAAAGGTGTTTAGTTTGTTCAGTCTGGACTAATGTAAAAAAAATGGCAGCCTCCATAGAGAGGGTCCCCTCGATGTAAATATAAAGTATTTAAATATAAAGGGCCTTTTCTGGGGTAAAGAAAACTACAATTCATATAATTTAGATGAAACAAACTAGTGAAAACATCATGAGGATTATTCTACTTTAAATTTCTGCCAATAGATCCCTTCCACTTAAATCTTACACACTGGACTTTTAAAAGCAGAGACAGTGAAAAGAGCGATGCAAAACAAGGAGAACAAGCACAAAGATGAGTTCAGTTTCTTTGGTTCACGCGAAGCTTTCTCAGCCCCGACAGATATTAAGAAACAACCTTCAACTTCACCAACTTTTCTTTCGTAAACATCACCATGTAAGTCACTGGTCTCTCGCGCTCCGTAAACATCGAGTGAAAGAATTGAAAAGAAGAGAAAATGTTTCCCATGGCCGAGCATTCACCACACTTAATCACACTCATAACTGCAGCCAGTGAGTGATGGCCGCCATGAAACGCATGTTTAAGGCCCCAGAGTTAGTTTGGATTTATTTTACAAACCTAGATTAAACACTAGAAAACAATCCAAGCTGTAAAACACCATTAAAATGTTATTCCCCAACTGTGCATGAGGAGTGGAGACATGGCAGCGGTCCTAGCTTTCAAATACAAGCGGGGGGCCTGAGGTTTCGGTGACAATAAGAGGCTCCCCAAAATGTAAACAACAAGTCAACATTGAAAAGCCCCTCCGACGGCATGCTGAAACAATACAGCCTACTTTACTGATGCAAAGACACAAAAACAAATACACACTCATAAACTGTGAAAGGTGCCAGCCTGGGCTCACTCATCCAGGGTGTAATTGCATAAAAAACGCATGACTTCCCCAGAGGAAAGTATAAGCCAGGCTCATTTGAGTGTGTGTGTGTCTGTGCCAAAAAAGCCTGAATAAAATCATCGCTCTTCATCTTGTGCGACTCAACTCAACAAAGGCTGCACAAAGACATGCCGACACCGGGCCCCCTCCCTCACTCTTGGGGCTCTCAGACCTGCCACCGTTGGCCCAGAATGCACTTCTTCTCCCTCTCAAAGGCAGGCCGCTGTGGCCCCCCTAACCTATTCAATGTGTGCAGCACTCCCACCCACCGGCCCCTCACTCCCCACACTGACTTTGTTGTGGCCCCACAGTTTCTGACGCACAAAGCCCCTCAGTGACCCTCACATTTCACCCGCACAATGACAGGCATGACACGGCCTCGCTCCACTCCCTCCTCACTTCTTCTGCTCTCACTTTTTGTTTCTGAAAAAGATGATGGATGCACACACAAACTTTTTTCTTAGTTTTTCATAAGAACATGTAGTTGCCTTGATTTCACCTTATATATTACAAAATTGGATGGATTCTTTCCTGACCCATATTGAATCCTTCCAATAAGTATCATGGCAATTCTTCCGAAAGTTTTTGTGTAATCTTGCTAACTATCAAACAAACAAACAGATGAAAACATAACTTCTTTGGTGGAGGTAATAAGCATTAAATCGACACTTTACTTTTGATTACTTTGCTTGTCATGGTTCGCTCCACTTCACCCATGAAGAATAACTCTTATGACAGCGCAAAGTGATCTGGGTTTCAGACTGGAGACTAAAAATGGAAAGCCTGCCCTGAATTACAAACTGGATGCCTGGAGTTCGAAAGACGTTGGTATTTACCAAACACAGACGATCTAATGAAAGACACAACCGAGCTGCATTACAGGGATTGTGGGATCCAGCTGTTAAGCCATCTCCAGCACTTCAGATTTCTATGAATCCAAAAATGTTCCCACGAGGACACTTAAGAATTACATCTGGATTTAAATTAATGGAACACAGTGATTTGGGTCGAGAGCTCATCTCAAAACATCTGGTGTGTAACAATCTACACACGGAAAAGAGCATTAGTGAAATAACTTCATCGCTGAATACAACCATAGCATCACAATCTCTGTGGTGCTATATAATACTGGGTATCTCCTATGTGGTTTAGATTTCTGCTGAACTTCCTCCTGACTCCATTTGATTGATTTCACTCATCAATCACAAAAGAGGGACCAGTTCCTATTTAGGTTGTTTTCACCACGAGGCATAACTTGTTTCTGTCACTACTGTAAAAACATCTCCTCTCCCTGCACGATCCCATCGTTCCATCCAACGACATGTGACGAGTTTCCTCTTGTAGTTCAAACTCATTGTAAGAAAGAAGGCAGGGAGGGCGAACACACTGAAGTGTGATTAGTTGATTTGTGACAAACGTTCTGGAGGGCACCTCTTTGTTCAGGCTGATGGGGAAAAGAAAAAGAGCGGGGGGATTCCCTCCTCCACCTCATTGTTGTACTGTAGTTTGTCCTTGAACTCAGCTTGAGTAAACACTGGACATGTTCCTGATTTTGTTTAGCTTATTATGTAGCACCACTTCCCCTCCCAGTGTGTGTGTGTATGGGTCAGGCAGGGAGCTCCATGGGTGGCTCTCACACACAGATGGACCTCCTCCCTGCTTTTCAAGGACATGGGGTTGTGGTGGGGAAAGAGGATAGAGAGCAAACGCTGCTGCGTGGACAAGTGTGGAAGACACTTTGAGAAATAAAAACCAAGTGGTGTATAAATAGTAGCTTCTAAAGTACGTTCCTCAGGTGCAGACCCTTGCGAGTCTATTGCACACTGCCGGGGGGCCAGAACAAATATCATGAGCAGACATATTGAAAATACTCTAAATACATTTCTAACATCTTTCCAGGACATTTCTTTTGGGTTATTGCTTCACACAACTAAATAGAAGCGTAAAAGACTAGAGGCAATGTCATGTTGTTCTGAGTAGGGTCTACAGAATATTTTCTATCTTGTAACTGGGAGGAAAGAACCTCTGCTCTAACAGACACTGTGCTGTGATGTCAAACTGCTGCCAGATGTTGCCAGCTGTAAATACAGATGCAATGATATCGTCTCCCAATCCACAGTGTTTAAATGTCATCACCACTCAGACTGTGTTCATACAGCTGCTCCAGCATTAAATGTTAATTATCTGATTGTGATAAACCATGCTCACTTCATCTCTTTGCCATCAAACAATAAAGATTCAGAGAAAGAGAGGTCAGCTGATAGAAGACAGAATGGATCCTAGAACAACAGTGGAGTTGGGGACACTTTCAGTCAACACGACTCACATCTACAGACACAAAGAATGAGAACCAGAGTGTGAAACAGCTTCTCCTTCTCTTCTACTCACGGTCAGTCGGTGTGTGCAGGTTTGTGCAGCAGCGAGTGAAGAGGAATCTGTTCCTTTGTTTTTTAAACGCATCGTCTCTTCCCGGGGGTGAGTCCTGCTCTCTCTCCTACCGCTCAGTCACTGAGCCTGCTTCCTCTCTGCAGGACACACACACACACACACACGCACGCACGCACACGCACACTCCCACTCACTAACTAACTGACGTCGGTCCATTCTCCTCTCCTCCCCACACCCTCTTACCTCCCCCTTTCCCCTCCCCCACCCGTCAGAGAGCGAGAGAGAGAGAGAATAAGAAAGAAGAGAAGTTGCAAAGATGATGATGATGAGGGGGAGGAGGAGGAGGAGTTGTCCAGGTTTCTCTATCTGTGAAAGGCATGTCTGAGTAATATCCATATTCCTGAATATTTAAGATCAACCCTTAAACCAAATCAATGCATTTTCTCATGTGTCTTGGGCATAAATTAGTTTGGTCATTTATTTATAAAGCACAAGGTGCTGTACAGAAAAAAACTAAAAGTTAAAAGCAGAGAATTACAATATGCACCTGGATATAAAATGAAAAATTGATTTATAACAACGAGTATTCATTCTATTATGAATACTTAAAATATTTTAGGTGAAATGTTTTTATCATTCCAAACTCAGTGGATATTTTCCTGTATTGCAGGTGTCGACTTATGGCAAACTTTACACTGACTTAAGTTAGTCTCCACTAGGCTAAGGATAACGCTAATACCTGATCTCGCAATTAAAGTATAAAGTAAAAAGAAAATCCTACATCTGTGCATTTATGTAGAACTGCTTTTTTTGGAATTCTTCCTCTCATCATGCACCACAAAATTTAATGTTAATCAGTTCAGTGGTTTTTAGCGTAATATTGCTAAAGATCAGGATTGTACAGATTAAACAAATAAGAAGAGCTAAGAGGTGAATTTCTTCACATTTCCCCATTTCACTTTGGTTTTTCCATGTTTACCAGCTCATAAAAAGCACTGACCTGTGTTTTAAAGCTCGACTGCAGATGTACCTGTGATGAACTTAATGATATTATCATGTTACTTGTTTTGTACAGTAACTTAGGTTCAGCCTCCATGTGATGCCACTTTTACAAGTTAATATAAGAAGAGAGAGTATTCAGGTGGTGACATTAGTAGGTTCTCACATGTTTAGCTTCATGTCTTTACGTCAAATCCAGACAGACAGTGCAGAAGCTGTGATGTTAACAAAAAACACATGTACAATAAGAAAAAGCAGCAACCCCACACACTTATTCCCTCACTATTTGAGTTTTTTGTCTCCTTGGTTCATTTCTGCAGAGATCCTCACTTCCTGCAGCTTGTTTTACCAGTAAATGGACGTCTTCCTCCTTTTTCATCAGATTCTTTCCTCACACATTCTTATGTTACACACATGATCCCTGGGGACAGAATTGCATAAATATGAACATAAGCTCAAATATCCCTGCAGTAGATAACAGATGGTAATGTTAAGTTTGCGCTGAGACTATTCCAGATGAAGTGTGACCTTCGGTAAGAGCCAACGTGTGTGAGCCATATTTTGCTGTGTTTGTGACCGTGCAATTTGAGCTTTACCACATTGGTATTTACGGCATTCCCACTGCTTCTGTTATTTTGTACAAGCCATTTAGAAAACCTAAAAAATAAAAAAAAACAACTCCTCTTCCCAGCCTGTTAACACCAGCTCCCATTTCCTCCCTGGGATGCTGAAGTGGGAGTTTGATAAGTGCAGCCACCCTCTTGACATTCTTCACAGCCTCAAACTTCTGATTCTACAGTTCATCTCTGCGCTCACACGGTGCCTCGCTTCTCCACTGCGGCCAAGCCACTGTGTCATTTGGTCGGCCCTGCCTGCAGGACTTCCTCTCCCCACACCAGATCTGTCTGTGTGTGTTGTGCTGGCTGAGAACACTGTGGGAGGCAGAAAAGGTCTGTAAATAGATAAGTGTGGTCTCAGTGGCGAGCTGGTCTCAGAGGGAGGAAGATGTACTTGGCTGTAGGGCAATTCCATGGGAAACGCAGACCAGACTGAAGAGACACTGGGAGAGATGATTGGGTCTGCTGGTTAGTGGTTGTGGGGAGGAAGTTACGAAATGATGCCATGATGCCCTTCTACGCATGAACACATGTGTGTGTGTGAAAATAAGGGCCGGTATAATTGGGTTAATTGCAGCCAGGCCTTAAAAATAGATCTGCACTGCATGGCACTAAAACTACCAATAAACAAATCATGTTTGAATTTGAAAACAAAGATGTGGGAAATAGACGCCTTTGTGTGAACAAGGCCTGTGTTGCATGGACGAACACGGCTGTAAAAAGTCAGAACACTTGGTTTTTATAGTTGTGGGTGTATGTGGAAATTATGAGTGATGTCATGTTAAGTGTTCATATAACTTTAGATGAATGCTTGTTGAATTTTCAGAAAAAATAAGTTAATGACAAACTTTAAATTCTTGTGTTACACATACAAACTAGGAGGGCACTCAGAAAACATAACAATAAATTACATTAATTTCCTGGAGACCTTCTCTAACCTTAACCATATCTACCACTTACCTAACCCTGACTTTAACCCATAAGTTATGGGGCCAGCTTATTGTCCCCATAATGTGACTGTAGATAGATTTAGTCCTCATAACATCCCCCCCTCTCTCTCTCTTACACACACTGGAAGTTATTTAGGGGTTAAATGCCTCAGTCTATTGAGGTAAACATAAACAGTAACATGCAGTGTGGTCAGAGAGCTGGCATTTAAAAAAAGGAGCAAAATAAAAAAGAAGAATCAATTTTTCTACTTTTGTTTAGTTGGGATTTCCCAGCAAGATGCAGTTTGACGTTGGGATTGAAGTCATAGCAGGACACATGTGACAGAAACAAGGTGTGACATAAAGGTGAGAGCAAAATGACCCCACTCAAACAAGCCAAGAAAGAGTAAAGTCAGGAATTTACAAGAAAGAAAACACTCCGATGTCTCTGCTGTGGCCAAAATCACACTCTCACTATGATTTATTAAAGTTGTGTTGCATTTTATCTGAAAACAAAAAACATCTGGGTATTTCAATCTGTGTCTGACTCATACGTGTGCACATCATAGACTGTAAATAAACATGTACGACATGTCTGCACCTCCTCCCCCTATCCGGAAATGAAGCCAAAACATCCCCAAAACAAACGCTGTCATCTTGTGCAGTCAGAGCCAGAATCTGTGCCGAAGCGATCGGAGCTGCGGTAGCAAGGTCCCATCGAGAAACACACTCGACCAATCGTGAGCCAGCCTCATCAATTAATACCAAAAGTCATCGGAAGAATCAGAACTTGGACAAACATCAGTGTGATAAGACTCTCCTAAAATGACAGACACCTTTTTTTGAGAAAGAACACGTTAAATGAATTATTTTACTAAATAATGAACAAATGTAGGAGGAAGGATCTATGCCCTATCTACAGCCAGCCACCAGGTGGCAATCATGACACTTTGGCTTCAGCTCACCATTAGCATTACTAATACCAATTTTTATTTAATGCATCTATTTCATTTATATTTTATATTTATAATAATCTCAATATATCAAACAACCTGCTCACCCCGCCTCATTCCCGTTAGCCCACATTGAGCATTCAAACCAAACTGACATCAACAGTGTGACACTGCTGCTTGTTTTGCCAAAGCAAGTATAACTCTTGGATGCAGGTGTCGACATGAACTGGGTTTGGACAACACGTCGGTGGTTGCTACCAAACAGAAAGAGAGAAAGAGAAACAGCACATACCAGTGAACTCAGGATGATATTTTAACAGGGTCAAAGTTCTGGATTTTACTGGGCTGATCTGGCAACGTTTGATGATATATGCTTGTACAGGCTGTAACTGTTCAGTTCATACAGAGTCATTCTGTGTGACTGGAGAAGAAGCAGTTTAAAAGATGTGTTACTGTAAAGCTTCTAATACAGTAAGAGGTGATACAAGTGAGGAGCTAATGAAAAGCTGCTCAGTTGCCTTATCACAGTGAACCACAGGCTGTTCGCTTCAAACGAACAAAAACAGATCATTATTTAATGTAGTTCCCAGTTGACAGTCATTGTAATGCAAACTAAATCCAACTGAAAGAAATCCGCCATATTTATGGAACTGATTTCTCTGAGTGTTTGTAATTTGGTGCAGCTTGATTGAATTTAAGGAGACTGTTGGGCTAAGGCAGATCTACAGTATGTGTTCCCTTAGAAAACAATACAAAAGTTGATTTAATGGTTTCTTCCCTAACCGTACCGTATCCTTCCACTAAGATTTGTGGAAATCCGTTTCGTGTAATCGTGCTTACAAACAAATGGAAAAGGGTGAAAACATAACCTCCTCGGAAGAGGTAATAACAGAGAAACACAATACAGAGAGGCAAGAGGCAAAGAGAGGAAATACAGGCTTCATGTTTGACGTTAGAGAAGAGCACCACGGGGTCGTATTAAGGTGTTCCAGCTCCAAAAGCCTGCAGAGCTTCAGTACTAAGAGGGACGATCACGGTTCTTCTAAAAGATGTTTCCTCTGTTTCATGTTTTGATGATGGAGGTGGAAAGTGTTAATCCCTACAACCAAATATCCCATTGGAGTATCAGCTGGATTGAGAGATGGCAACCGTCATTCACACGGATTGAACTATTCAGTGACATGTTATGCCGTGTATGTAATCACCTGTGTTGTTTTTACCTTTAGCCAAGATGGTTGTGTTTTCACCCCTGGTTTGGTTTGTCAGCCGGAATACACAAAAAGTACTAAACATATTTCCACAAAACTTAGTGGAAGAATGGAACATGGGCCAAGGAAGAAACCATTTAAATTTAGCAAGAGTCTGGACAAAGGTGCAGATCCAGGGATTTATTCTATCACTTTCTTTAACATTGTGAATGTCATTCTAGTTTTAACTGTGTTTCTCCTCTCATTTATTTTCAGCAGTCAGATGTCTGGGCTGACATCAGAGAAAGTCATTTACTGAAGATAATGTACTCTTCTGCCCTCTTGTGTCTCAAAGTAGTTTTTACAATCCTCATGTTTGTTTTCAGTACATTTTCAAACATATTTAAAAGCTATGAAGAAGTGGATCATGACGAGTGTGTTGCAACAAGATGCTATTTTGTCTGAAAACCAGTGTCTTTTATGGAATGTATGAGTAAGATCGGAGCTGAGAGGACTCAGTGGGTTTACTAGGTCAGAGTGCTCTCCCTCTCTGCCTCTCGCTATCCCACTCACTCAGTGTCTCTCACCCTATCTGTGGCCTGCATATCCACAAAGAATGGACGGATTCAGCAGAAAGTCTTCTTCAGTCTGAGCTGTGATTGGACCAGAGGAAGGGGTGGAGGTAAACAGAGGGGGCTGCAGTGGCAGAGGGAGTCTCTCTCAAAAACAACGGGTGAAGCAACACAGAAAACAGAACACGTGTGAAGATTACAGGGAGAAAAGACTTCAAGAGGTGGGACAGTGCTGTTCTCTGTCGACTCTGATGCATATAATTTTCATTTTCTGTATCAGTGGCCACTGCTTTCAGCTCGTGGGGGATTTTAACAAGTTCTCTCAGCAGGCACAAACAAAATCAGGCCAGAAACATGATGGGCCAATGACATATAGCTGCAGGCTGAAGAAACAGGGTCAAATCTTAATAAACGGAAAAATAATATATAATCTTGTATCAAAGGTTATAATTTGGGCCGACTATTCTCTGCTCTGTTTCTGTTGCCACCAGGCCAAAAGACCATGTGACTGTCCAACACTTTATCAGTGTGTTGGGAGTCAATAGTTAACCACAACTTTATCAGTGTCAACTCAGGATACATTTCAGGCATGTTTCTCCACAGCAGGAACCAGGTTTGCAAACCTGCAATTTTCTGCACTCTCTTCCTCCACTCTCATGCCTTGAATCTGGCCTCTTTCCCAGCCTGCTCCGTCTTAACCCCTTTCAACAATTCCAGCTCCAGCAGAGTCCTCCATCGACCCCCCTTTGAGCAAACACCCGTCAGTCCCCTCACCTTTGGTCTGTTTACGACTGCACAGACGTTCCAGCATTAGCCTGTGTGAACTAGTTGTGGCTGCATAGAGAAGATGCAACTTGATACAGAGGCTGGTCAGCACCGGATACTCCAACCGGAATAGCTGGAATAAAAGAAATGCAATACGGTATATATGCATGTAAATAGATTTCATAGAACTGAATTCATGGTGTAACCCCAGAAGAGCCCATGTGTAATAACTGTAGTTGTGGCTTCTCAGACACTTCTGAGACAAGGGAAGGAGAAAGAGAGAAGAGCAGCAGCCATGAAGTGAGTAAGTCAATGATGAAGAAATAAAAAGAAATCCTGAAGAATAATGAGATCACAGAAGGAAAAAGTGCCACTTATAAAAATGAAAGGTGTTTATCATTCCATCTGATCCCTTCACTGTATCTTACATAATCCATTAGATCAGTGAACATGATGTAATGTGGGCAGTGGGCATGGAGAGCCGTGCTCAGGGTTGTGGTTCAGTGTGCACGTGGAATTTGGGGTCTCTACAACTGAAGCTGCTGATGCTGCCTGAAGCTCACTTTACAGTGAACCTAACACCGCTCTGTGAATACAACCAGTGCAAATCAACACACGTTTAAATAAGTTGTTCACAAGGAGAAACTAAAGCGTCTGTTTGATGAATAAAATGCATAAAACCATTTTCTTCCCACCAGTTTATCATAAAGGGCTTTTAGTATGTGTTTTCTTTTTGACAGCTTTTTACTAGTAACACATGCAAAATGGAACAAATTACCCGTCTTTATCCATATTTCTTTTGTGTGACAGCCTGTTTTTATCCAGATGTAGAACATAACTATAATAAACATGTTCACTGACTGAAAGGCATAGTTGGACATTTTGAAAAATACGCAAATTCACTTGGTTGCTGAGAGTTAGTTAAGAGAATTGATTCTACTCACATCTATAATGAGAGACAGATCAGCTTTTCTGGCTCTGTCTAAAGGAATTAAAATGTTAAATCACATCTGTTCCCAAAAAACAAAGTGTAAAATCAACAGGGATGATGTACAACAATTCTTGCACCGATTAAATAAAAATGAGATATGTCTTTATTAGTGAAGTTTAGGAGTGTCGGTAAGACACAATCAGGCGAGTGGTTCTTAGTCTTTTCAGTCAATATTCTAGAGAAACCCAACCCTACAATGAGCAAACATTGAACAATCCTCTGCAGCATGGCATGAGTTTGTAACAGCTGACCTACCAGTGAATAAAGGTTCAAATACAAAACATATTCGCAAACAAGTGCCAGAATCAATTTTTTGGGACATGCAATATTTCTTTTACGTAATACAATAAACACTCAGCTCAGTAGAGAGGGAAATGTTCTGTTCAGCTCGAATACAAGCTGTTGAAATCCTTCAGTCAAGTAAAGATGGGAGGCGTTTCTCTGAACTTTGACTCTGTTGATAAACACCGTACGGACGCCTATCTGTAACATTCCCCCTGAAACTGGATAAACCCAGAGCTGACAGAACTAGACATCACCGCTCCACTGAAGGTCAATATCCCTTTGTGTGTATATGTGTGTGTGTGTGTGTGTGGACTGCGGCTAGGAGAGGAGGTGTTACTGGTTAACCTCGTTAACCTGTTTATGCATTGATGCATGATGATCATGATCAACACACAGCCCTGTGTTTTTAATTTAAAAAAAAAAATAGAAATAAAAGTTTGTGTCATAAGAAGGAAAATACTCAAAAGTCTTTGGTTCTGTCAAAAGCAGCAACTAACAATAGTTTTTCTTTATTGATTAATCTGCTGAATTAATTTTTCTAAATGACAGAAATCTAAATGTTCATCTCTGTGACATGAGCCAAAAGTAATGTCATAAAATTGACTGCTGTGTTGCACAAGTTAAAACAGCAGATTGTCACTATGAAGATGCTGAAAATCTATTTTTGAGCATTTTATCTTTAAAAACTGAGGGTTTATCAAAATAGCTGATTAATTCTGTCATCCAACCAATCAGCTAATTCCTAGAAGTCCATATAAATAAACTATGTTATGTGTATGTTTTATCTTCTTTGTACAACTTAATAACAAAATAATTTAACAAAACACAAATCTAAATCATAACTAAGAGCTAACATGCAGATGCTTCCATCAATGAGCACACATGACTGTTGCAAGCATTACCCGCTCTTATCAGCCGTGTGTCTCAAGACCAGCAGGAATGTTAGTAATTGGACAGAAGGTGAAAAATAGGAGCTTATCTTTTTCAGGCCTGTGCGGAAGGTTCAAACTGTGAGGACACGGCCAGGCCTTAATTGCATCAGACATTTCAGGGTCACAAGAAGAGGATAAACACCTGAAGGATCTGGTTTGATGCAACCAGGCATTTGTAAAAACGAGGTTAAAACCTTTATTTATAACAGTCTAATACTGAAAATATCCTGCAGGAAGCTTGTAAAAGTAAACTGTGTAGAATCAAGTCAAAAGCAAAAACCTTGGTAACGTCATAAAGATGCTCTGGTCTGTTAAACTAACCCTGGATCCTTCTTTACTAAAATGATGTGGGAACAAGCTAATGTTAAACTAGAGATATTATTGGCTGGATTGTTAATATAATCATTAAACAGCAAAGTCTTCTATTACGAATCACATGTCCCTGTCTTACCCTCACCAAGTCCATGCCACCTTCATCGATCAATGATCCAGACGATGTTGCACAATATCTAAACAGTTATGTGGCAATTACACATGGATTTGGCACAGAGATGAAATCCTCCCATATTCACGCAGCAGTATAAAACTGGTGCGGAGCAACTCTCTGCACGTTTCCAGCCAAAAGAGGGGTTCACGCTTGTGCTTAGTTCTGCAACTGACACTGGGAAACAGAGATGGCACCTGTCAAGAAGGTAAAATCACTTTCCGTGCAGATATTTTCATATGAATTTGCAGAGGAGAGGGGTTTTCTAAATGCATCATGCAAAGTGAAACTTAAAGGCTATTGAATTGCTATTGTAAAGGTGGTGTTGTCAGGAAAATGTTGTCGTAGGTTGCATGTTTTTTTGTGTGCATGCATTTGATTTGTGAAAAGCCAGAATAAAGCAGTCACTGCTGGAGACTCTCAGGCTAAAACTGCTTTTATCTTTGCACCTTTGTACCTGAACAGCTTCTCTCACACAAACACATATGTAATCTTAAAACTTTCTTTGCACAAACTGGCATTCGTCAATTTCTCGACCACTTTTAAATGTATATTTATTAATATGTGTGTGTGTGTAAATGTTGACAAAGTTACAAAATATTAAAACAGGTGCAATCCACTCAGTGAACAACGCAGGTTAAGTGTGTGCATGGATCCCTCTGCTCCTACAGGGTATCCTTGAGCGTCTGAATGCTGGGGAGGTGGTGATTGGCGATGGAGGCTTCGTGTTTGCACTGGAGAAGAGGGGATATGTGAAGGCCGGGCCCTGGACACCTGAAGCCACTGTCACTCATCCCGAAGCGGGTAAGAGAAGTCACTAACACAGACACGCACAGACACGCACAGACACACACACACACACACACACACTCCTCCAGTCCACAGGCCATAGTGTCCTTGGGCAAGAAATTGAACCCCAAATTACAGCTGATGGCTGTGCCAGATACGTGTATGAAGGGTGTGATAGAAAAAGTGCTGCGTACAGAAGCATGGTATGAATGTGTGTAAATCAATGAACAGACAAATCTGTGTTTTTTCATTAGTGCGACAGCTGCACAGGGAGTTCCTGAGGGCAGGATCGAATGTCATGCAGGCATTCACGTTCTATGCCAGTGATGACAAACTGGAGAACAGGGGGCAGACACTCAGTATCACTGTAAGTGTTCAACTATATCACTCTACAGCCAACATGAGCTTGGACTGATCAATAAAAAAGACCATATTGCAGAGAGTGTGATCATACAAACTCTTAACCCGCTTCATTGTTTCAGGGAGTCAAAGTCAATGAGGCCGCCTGTGACCTGGCGAGGGAGGTAGCCAATGAGGGCGATGCTCTGGTTGCTGGCGGGGTGTGTCAGACTCCGTCCTACCTGAGCTGCAAGAGTGAGAAAGAAGTGAAGGCGATCTTCAAGAAACAGCTGGAAGTGTTCATAAAGAAGAATGTGGACTTCCTTATTGCTGAGGTAGATTTAGTCTAGTTTTGTCAAAACTGCTCCAATCTGAACTATGATTGTTGGAGCAAACACAAGCTGACTGTGTGGTTTTTGGTCGTTGCAGTACTTTGAGCATGTTGAGGAGGCGGAGTGGGCCGTGCAGGTGCTGAAGACCAGTGGGAAGCCTGTAGCTGCTTCTATGTGCATCGGGCCAGAGGGAGACATGCACGGCGTCTCACCCGGAGAGTGTGCCGTCAGGCTGGTGAAGGCTGGTGTGTATTCCATCCATCCTGCATGATCACACACTTGTGTCCTTACTTCAACATCAGTTGTTTTGTCTGCTACAGCAATAACCGTCTCCCCCTCTGCTCCCCAGGTGCCCAGATTGTTGGCGTCAACTGCCACTTTGACCCCATGACCTGTGTGAAGACTGTGAAGATGATGAAGGAGGGAGTGGAGAAGGCCGGGCTGAAGGCTCACTACATGTCGCAGCCACTTGCCTTCCACACTCCCGACTGCAACTGTCAGGGATTCATCGACCTACCGGAATTCCCCTTTGGTAAAATTTTTCTAGTTTTACTTAAACATTAAAAGAGAAATAAAGCATCTTCCAGAAAACAATTGGCAGCATTTCAAGCATTTGTTTCCATTTTCCTGCCACTCTCAGCCCTGGAGCCCAGGATCCTGACTCGCTGGGACATGCACAAGTATGCCAGAGAAGCCTACACGATTGGCATCAGGTTCATCGGCGGCTGCTGTGGGTATGAGCCTTACCACATCCGAGCTGTGGCAGAGGAGCTGGCCCCCGAGAGAGGAGTGATGCCCCCCGGCTCAGACAAACATGGCATGTGGGGCGCTGGTCTGGAGATGCACACCAAACCCTGGGTCAGAGCCAGGTAACACATCTGGGAAATGAGTGCACTGTAATGCAAACAATTTTATGAATACGATTTTTTTCTCCTGTATAACCGTCTATCTTTATCTCCTCTAGGGCCCGCCGTGACTACTGGGAGCATATCTTGCCCGCATCCGGTCGTCCCACTTGTGCGTCCCTGTCCACACCAGAGAGCTGGGGTGTGACCAAGGGCCACACTGACCTGCTGCAGCACAAAGAGGCCACCAGCACCCAGGAGATGAAGCATGTGCTGGAAATGCAGAAGAAGGCCAAGTCCTCCGCATGAGCGAGACAGAGCGAGAACGTCGTCGGTCAACAACAAAGAGAGTGAAGTCTTTCCCAGTTCAGTTTGGAGATAAAAAGCACTTGTAACAGTCATGCTCCAGCTGTGGAGTATTACTATGTGAACCCCTCAACAATAAACACATCATTCTACAAACTGGCCTCAACTCTCAATATGTCACATATGTCACATATGCACTGATTTCAACATGGTTCAATCTTTACTGGTTTGTTAAAAGTAGCTGTGTCAATAAAGCAGAAACCCCCCGACACACTAAAAACACACCCACAGCCATATTTAATCCGGACCAAACTAGTAGTGGACATCCACAATACTCTCATTGAGCTAAAGAGGGGAGGAGGGGGGGAAGGAGTAAAAACACCTCAGTTGTGTAACTTGTCCCCTTGCCAATCAGAGCAGCTCTCACTCAGACCCCTCCCCACCTCCAAACAGATTTATAGTGGCCCTGTGCTCCACTCTAATGTCACTTCAGCCTCTCAAAGTCTGAGCAGTCAGGGGTCCACTCAGCTGTAGGAATATGGCACCAGCAAAGAAGGTATGTGTTGAGTTTTGTCCTGAGTACCATCATGCAGAGTATCCATGCAGGGAATTATAAACAGTTGTTTTCTGGAATCCCAGGAGAAATACTACAGCATCTGTGATGTGACTTGTAAAGACTCTTGAGTCGAGCTGCTGAGGGACACGCTGTATATTTGCGCTCGTGTATTCTAGACAGTTTTCCGAATGAACCTTCTGCACACCTGACACGTGGGATCACATTTCTGCGACCAACTGAAACTTTCAGCTGTTACTGGAGAAATAAGATCAGTGACCGGACCTCTCACTACACTCTACACATTAGAATGAGTCAAACTGACCAGTGTTGCCTTCCAGCTCAGTGTGATATAGGTGATTTATATTATTATTTCTTACTAAAAGAGACATTGAGGTTTTTATTAAAAGTTTAAAATTTTAATTTAAACCTTAAAATTAACCTTAATGAATAACAGATGATAATAGTTTTTTATTATTGCAGAATTTCTAAGATTTGTTAAGTGCATTTTTATGTTAGGATTTCTCATAAACTGCGGTGGTGCTCAAGTCAGTGTGGTAACGGAGGATCTGGTGAACAGCAGGTGGAGCTTAAATAGATTCAGTGTTTTTGGTGACTAAAAACATTTGTGGAATAATGCACAAATGTGAATAGCCATATACGGTCTACATCAGTCCAAGCTTACGTTGATCCATCTTCACAGGGAATCTTGGAGCGTCTTGACGCCGGAGAAGTTGTGATCGGCGATGGTGGTTTCGTCTTTGCCCTGGAGAAGAGGGGATACGTGAAGGCCGGTCCCTGGACACCTGAAGCCGCTGCAGAGCACCCTGAAGCAGGTGAGAATTCTCTTTTTTCAACTTATATTGGCTTCCTCACTATTCCCTGCAAATAAAAATTCTCCATTAATTCTGTGTCATAGTCAGATTGTGTTATGATGCAATTATTTGTTTGATGATTCTCAGTGAGACAGCTGCACAGGGAGTTCCTCAGGGCCGGGGCCAACGTTATGCAGACCTTCACCTTCTACGCCAGTGACGACAAACTGGAGAACAGGGGCAACAAGCTCACCTTCACTGTAAGTTAAACCACACCACTTTCATTAGAAGGAACAGATCATCATGATAAAATGACTCCAACCAGGAATGCTTTTATGGTGTTAATATTATGTCACGTGTGTCACGGTTGTCTGTATGATTCCGACCTTTGTTTTCTTCCTGCAGGGCGCTCAGATCAACGAGGCCGCCTGCGATTTGGCCCGTGAGGTCGCCAACGAGGGTGACGCTCTGGTTGCTGGAGGAGTGTGTCAGACTCCATCCTACCTGAGCTGCAAGAGTGAGACAGAGGTGAAGGCCATCTTGAAGAAACAGCTGGATGTGTTCATCAAGAAGGACGTTGACTTCCTGATTGCTGAGGTAGAGTTGTTTTAAAAAAAAATATTTTGCAGCATTTGCAATACTTGAGCCAGTTTTGTCTCATTTGTTATGCTGGTGTCTGTATCCTGCAGTACTTTGAGCACGTTGAAGAGGCTGTGTGGGCTGTGGAGGTGCTGAAGGAGACAGGGAAGCCCGTGGCTGCTTCCATGTGCATCGGACCAGAGGGAGACATGCACGGAGTCTCACCTGGAGAGTGTGCCGTCAGGCTGGTCAAAGCCGGTGGGTTCAGTGTTCAGTACATCCCTGAGATATCAACTATCCTTTTTTATTCTTAATAGACCATCTAAAAAATAATCAGAGTTTCAGTTTTTGATTACTGAGTGTTAAGAGAAGCATGATGTTTGTTCATATTAACTCATCTCGTCGTCACATGACCTCTCTGTAGTGTGACTAAGCAGGGCAATATTTTTAACTGGTGGTTGTTTTCTTTCATTACCAGCTGCACCGTTCACAATAATTAACAAAATTTGAAAAACTTCTATGGATTCAACACAAACCTTGAAACCACAACTGCAAACGACAGATCAGCTCACACCAATGCATGTTCCTCTGTAGGTGCCCAGATCGTTGGAGTCAACTGTCACTTTGACCCCATGACCTGCGTGAAGGCTGTCAAGATGATGAAGGAGGGAGTGGAGAAGGCCGGACTGAAGGCTCATTACATGGTGCAGCCCCTCGCATACCACACCCCCGACTGCAGCTGTCAGGGATTCATCGATCTGCCAGAGTTTCCCTTTGGTACTAATAATGTGTTGCATTTAGATTTGAACATTCAGTTAATGTAATCATGTATAAAATGACACTTTCACTGGATGCAGGTATATGTGCCATCTGCTGGTGTGATGCATGACAGCAAAGTCATCCATTCAATGTCCAACCAACCTGCAGGTGTATGTGTGTATAACATTAAATCTTCTGTCAGGTCTGGAGCCCAGAATTCTGAGCCGCTGGGACATGCACACATACGCCAGAGAGGCCTACAAGGCTGGCATTTTCTTCATCGGTGGCTGCTGTGGATTCGAGCCTTACCACATCAGGGCTGTGGCAGAGGAGCTGGCCCCCGAGAGAGGCTTCCTCCCAGCTGCATCAGAGAAACACGGCAACTGGGGTGCTGGTCTGGAGATGCACACCAAGCCCTGGGTCAGAGCCAGGTCAGTCAACATGTCACCGAGTAACATAAATATGCAGCTAATCTCAATCAAATGTGAAATATCAGTTTTTTGGTATTCTTGTATGTGTATTTCTCTTTTAGAGCCCGCCGTGACTACTGGGAGAACCTGAAGCCAGCCTCCGGCCGTCCCCTGTGTCCCTCCATGTCTCACCCTGATGGTTGGGGTGTTACCAAGGGCCACACTGATCTCATGCAGCAGAAAGAGGCCACATCTCAGGACCAACTCAAACAGCTGTTCGACAGGTCAAAGAGCCAATGAGTCACTCTCCTTCAGACCTGGCAGCAGAGCTGATGGTTCCATTAAACTTGAGTCAAACAGCCGCGCTGTGGAGCAAACTGATGCTGCACGGCGTGTGTTCACTCTCTGTAAACGGTGCTTCAGCCAACAAACATGTCAGGGTCAGAATCCTCACTTGAGACGACTTCTCTACCTCTGTTGATTAACTGTGGTTAATGTGACGCCACAGAGGTATCTCAAGTTAGGAGTCAGCCTGTGTTAAGATTGGGACCTTTTTGTTTTCCATGACGACGGACCAGTTTGTGTAATAAAATAAGATCTAATAAAATGGGAATTGGTTACTTACCAGTTATGATGTTTCATGATGTTGATGGGTGGGTGAGGGCAGGGTGGGGGTACTCTCTATCTCACCATGCACACAAAGCTTCAATGCAATGAGAATTAGTGGAAAAAGAAGAGGAAACAGATGAATGAACTCATCAAGTAGCAGGCAAACATTTTTCAAGGTACACTTTACATATAAACTATACAATACAGCAATAAAAGCTCTCAGCAGCCTGACAATATGATGTCAGAGTTCTGGAAATTAGCTGGCTTTAGAGACTCGTGCAATGAATGTGCAATCCAGTAGATGGCAGTGTTACAGAATCATGGCCTCTATACGTGACAGCATTTACAAAGAGCCTTGTATAAAAGATGTTCCAGCAGCTAGCAGCTGTGGTAACTAGTTGGGACTGACTTCATCTTCTAACACCATGACAATCATAATGTTTGAGGTGTCAGCTCTAAAGTACAGGGTGATGTGTGTTTGTGTAATAAAATGTGTGTATGATGAGGCCAAAACACCGAGTGATACCAAAGAGTCTCTCAAGATATGAATCTGTTCATTACCTTTCCAAAGCAACAGGACAGATTCGTATTTTAGCTTCATTATAAACAATATTGTCAGTGAATTAAAAAACGAATGCAGTCAAATACATCGTACTGCAATAAATCCCTTTTATCTGATGGTTGAGAAGTTCAGTTTCTGTTGAGGCTGTTTTACAGAGATGTCGATTGAAATGCATGATCACTGTGGAGGCTGTTTGGCTGTTGTGTTACAGTAAACAGTGTTTTCATTATATTACTCAGGATAGGCTCGATAACAGAAACATCTCTGTCTAATGCAATATAATTCAAAATCAGAAACATCAACTACATCCTCCAGCATTCCTCTACACTTTGATCAGCACCTCTACCAAACAATGTCAACGAGACTGAACATTGTGAAATCATAGTTTCAGCTTTGTATAGCTAGGTGTACCTAATAAACTGATTGACTGACGTGTTTTCTGCTAGTGACACATCTTCTCTAATAGAACGTCTCTGCTGCTTTTCTCGATTGTGATTGGTCGAGCGTCATCCACTTGATCCGGTTTTTATTGTGAGAGGCGGAGGGACATTAAAGACATGAGCTGTGTCCTCACCTGCCGCTGTGACCTGATATTTCCAGCAAACACTCACACCACCTCGTCTTTCTCCTCGTTTCACGGTGAAGGACAGAGGACACTTGTCCGGATTTGAATTGGAGCGGGTCGAGGTCTTGTATTGGTCTGTTTCCGGGAGGGATTCGGCTGCAGGATGCCCTGAGATTTGACCTTTTCTCGGGACCAGCAGCCGCTGTCACCAGCTGGAGGTGAGGCTAAGCTAATGGAAGCTTCAGGATTTAAACGCTGAGTAGTTTATTGTTTATTCGCGCTGGTGTGTTTGTGTGTTCTGGGTCTGATCGGTGTCTGTTACCTGACATCCTGCAGCAGACATGTCGATCTCAGCCCCCGTGTCATCATTATCCTCAGCACCACTGTCGTTCTGTGCGTTAATGGTATAGGCTCTACAGGGCTGCGGAACCACAGCGCCACCCCTCGGCTTGTCCTCGCATCTCCCACGCAAGCGCTTCATCCCGGAAGTGAACCCGTGAGGTCATGGGAAGCAAAGTCAGCTCCAAAATGGCTGCCCCGGCCGCTCGAGTGATCCAGGTAACGTCCCCGCCGAGGGTTTGAGTTCTTCCACGGCTGATTCACCCGCTCGTGTCGCGCTCAGACGAACACCGTGGAGTCGACACGTGTTTTTAAACGTCGTGAGGGGTTTGACCGTGTTGTCTCTGAGGCCGCGGGCAGGAATCAACCCTCGTACCCTTGTTGATGTCCTTGTTCAGACACTCGGAGTCTCGGCTGTTGTCACGTTCAGTCTCCGGGTTTCTGAAGAAACGTGAAAGTTACGAGACGTTTTTCACAGTTTGAGCTTCAGTGTTTGTTCAGATGATTTAGTCCCAGAGAAGAAACTGATGTCAGAATGTTCACAGAGTGGAAACATCTGGAAACATTGGTGTTCTGTTGATGGGGCTGCCATTGATGATTAATATAACTTGATCTTTGGGTTTCATCATTTTCACTCAGTTTCTAAATAGATTAGTTTGGTATCTGGTGCTGTCTAAAACTCCAGTGTGCTCAGTTCACTATTACAAAACTCAGCTGTGAATGAACTGAACTGGAAAGTTGAAATGTTTGACTTTTTCTTTTCTTTTTTAAATTGTATTTCTGTTGTCATGTGTCTCAATCTGCATTTAGCCAACGGACTTATTATACCTGTTGTTGTTGTTAAGCACTTTATAACATCGTTTAAAGCAAAGTGCTAAATAATAATAATATTGTATATATGTAGAATTTCTGCTTGATAACTAACTCTCAAACAAAAAGCTCAATTGTTTGATTTCTGTTAATCAATAAACCATTGAATCTTAGTGCTGGGTGATATGGTCTAAAATGGTGTTTGGATAAATAAAAAATGATAATATTTTCTTCTATTTTATCCTTATTATTTATTTTAAGTGTAAAGATTTTTACTCCCGAGTGAAGTTTGTGGATTTAAATTCTTCTTTATGAGCAGAAAATGACAAACGCTTGATAAACAGCAAAACATTTTATAAATCGGTACAAAACAGTCAGCGTCATATTTTCATGAACCTACTGTTAACATACGTGTAACTGATGTTTGTGTTGTTATCCAGGCTGTCCGGCCTCGTGCTCCACTGATCAAGTTCCCCAACAGACAAGGAGTCCCAAGACCCAATGGTAAGTGTGTACCTTCAGTCAGGCACTGAAAACAGAGGAGCTTTCTCACCTCGCTGTCGTGCCAGATTAGCACGTTCACCTGTGGTCTCGTTTCCATCGCTGCCGGTCAGAGCCGGGGTCGATTCCAAACCTCTTCTGCTGCAGAGTTTTCACCGGGAGTGAATGGAGATTGTATTTACTGCCGTTGGTTGTTTGAGGGGTGTTTTTGATGAATCTGGTATCTTCTCTTGGCTCTCTCAAGCCTGATGTACCACTGGAGTTTAAGATTTATTCAGCAAAAGTTCATTATAGATTTTTTAAGGTTTTTAACACATTTGTTTACAATGTTTTTTTTACACAGAACTGATGATTTATCATCTTCCAGGTTGTCTCTGAGTTGATTTCCATACATTGTTTTCTCCCTTTTCCTTTTAGCCCAAGAGGCATTAAAGGCATCAGCTGTTAACTTCCCACAACACAGCGCTGGCAGCCCACCTTCTGCCGCAGCACCGCCTTCACTATCAAGACCTCATGTATCTTTGACCCCGATCCCCGGCACGCCAGACACACTGGCATCGATTCAGCTTCTCCCTGCAAGGTACCGGAGGAGACCGCTGACCGCAGATGAAATGGACTACATCGAGGTGAGGGGGGGGAACTGACCACATACATTAGACTGCACTGATGATTCACACTGAACAACGTGGCCCCTTTTTAAAACCAAGTTAGGTGGGTCGAGGTTGTGAAAAGGATAGAGAGCAGTTGGAACATGATCTTTGTACATGTGTCATGTAAGAGGAGCTTGCGTCATGTTTCTTGCTGATAAACAGATTTTCTTTCTTCACAGCGCGGCGGACCTGAGTGACACGACCCGTCTCAAATCACTGCAGCCAAAGTCCTTATCTGTTGGAAATCAGTATGTGTCTTGAATTCTGTTCCTCAGCACAAAGAACCTAATGCCGCATGAGACATGTAGAATAAAATATTATATAAATCCTGTTAAAATGTACATATGCTTATTATTATTTAGATGCTAAATCTTAATTGTTTTTCATTAGAAAGTTCATATTAAGGGACATCTCGCATGTATTTCACAATTAAACCATAACATGGTTTTCTTATTTTCTCAACGAGCATCTCAACTATTTCAAACACTGTTTTTCACATTCATTGTAGTTAAACCTCAGTTTGAACAGTATAAACGCTCAAAGTTACATTTTCCTGATGTCGTATAACTTCTTTGAGCTTCACTTGCACTACAATACCCATAATCCAACCTCGAGGTACATGGAGTAATATCACCAGTGGGTTTCTTTGCTTTTCATGCTGAAGAGATACTGGAGAAGTACTGAGTTAAAAATAGTGTTGAGTTCATGTGAACGACTGGATTGAAATAATTAAAGGATTACTGTATTTTGATTGTGGTGTTCCTATGCTTGATGTAGATATGTAAACGAAGACGATTTAAATCAGGGGACGTCACTGTCTGCAACAACATATTAACAACATATATTCAACATCAGTTTTCAGTATTTATTGTTACCGTTGCTGGCATGCTCTATATGGTAAACATCAACGACATTGAGGTTACACAACAGTGCAGTATGATCAGCCACCATCAGTGTGCTACCGGCTTTCTAACTATCAGTTCAGTTGTCTGTTAATTATTCAGATGAACGTTGGCACAATTAGCTCAGACATGACAGAAAAGGCCAAAAGTGAAAAATACACTTCACTATTTCTCGACTTGCAGATTGTAATCTCAGTCTAAACCGGAGCTGAGAAAAGCTCCAGAGTTTTTAAGTTTCTCCTCTAATCATGAATGAATGGAGGAGAAGTCACAGCCAGGCAAATACACACGAGTTAAACTTATCTGTGTTCATGAATACACATCTGCCCTTTTTCTGGCAAGATAGTAAAAGAACCAGCTCCTAAAACACATGAATGCCATCAGAGAACAATTCATGGCTTTACAAAAATACCTCTGGATGTTCAAAACTCCAATATCAAACACGACCTATGAACAAGTGCAGTATATTCATATATGAACGTAAACACAGCAACAAGGAACCGTCAAGTCACAAATGGGCACGACACGATAAGAAGCACTGAAGTATGCACTGGATCACTGGGATTCTTTTCAGGAGAATATTCTGGCCTACGCACGTTCTCCCCTGGAACATTTATGGTTTGGGATCATTTTGGATTGCAACGTTTACATTTTTAATTTTGCATTCGCCAGACTAAACATTGCATTGAAATGTAGTAGATGCGATCCGTGCTGCGCACCGGAGGCAGAAGGACTCATCAATTGCTCTGTTCGTCCAGTTCCTCAAAAGCGGGTAAGAAATCAGCAATGGTATCAACCACGTAGTCGGGCACCAAGCTGTGGTTGGCGGTCAGCTCGCTATTCCTGTACTCCTCAGCCTCCTCGATCTGAGACACGCCGGTGAGAGTGAGCATGGTGTCGAGGCCGCAGTTAAACCCGAACAGCATGTCCGTCTCCAAACGGTCGCCAACCATCAGGCACTGTGCAGGGTCCACCCCCCTGAACTGACTGGAGATGCACTCGAACATGAAGCGGCTGGGTTTGCCGATCACAGTGGCTTTACGGCCAGAGGCCACCTCCAGTGCTGCAATGAGGGACCCAGAACCTGGGGGGGGGGGTTAAGACAAGATCAAGGTTAGATTAAAGTGAATCTTCTGCGACATCCTCTCGTCCAACTGTCCACTCTCCTGTGCTTTAGTCACCACTGTACTAGAAGTCCACAGCAAACCACACGTTTCACAAACAATTCAAAAGAGCGATGGAGGGAGATTCATTCTGCATCATTGACTAATGGTTGTAATTAGGTGCAAGAGAAAGCCAATACATTTCTGCCAGTTTCTATTTCTCAGGTGTCTGAATGCCGTGCTGCTAATTTGCAGGGAGCAAAGTGCAACATGGAACTCAACCTGCTGGTTCCTGAAACTTTCCCAAGAGGCCTCACACTTCCTGGAACCCTGAAAGGCAAACGTTCACTTTGTATCGGTTGATTGTTTCTGTAATGTGTACACACACCAATACAAATCTAAGGCTGTTCAAGCAGTTTCTAAATTACTTCTATTTTAGGAGACATATTTGTGGGAAGGTGTCAGGAAATGAGGAGAAACAGGATGAAGAGGAGCAACGACACAAGTCGTTATCACGAAAGAAATGTTGAAGCCCTGCAAAATAATTGTGTCTATGATAGTTTACTTGAATATACCTGTTTGCTGTGTGCACTGGTGGGTAACAGGTAACGAGGTACATCACCAGTGCATCACAGTTAATACTGTGTCTGGTTTGCAGGTCAACCTCAACTGTGAAGTTACATTGTTGGTTGAAAACATTTTGTGGTGCCAAACGATTTATCAATGAAACCGGTCGATATGAGCCTTTCACAGACACATCAGTGTCAGCATTAATGTTTGCAGTCATGTGCCAGTGTCAGAATGTTTTTCTTTATCCAAGTTCTGTAAGTTTAGTTGTATTTGTAGTCTTTTTATTTATAATTATAATCAATTCTGGGGTTAAATAGTGAAACATCAAGCTTTAATTACTTTTTTGTCATAAGGGGTTGATAACTACACCTTAGAAAAGAATATATTCTGGCTGATAAATAAATATTTCAATTCAATTAATCTCTATCAGTCTGGCTCGAGCTGTCACCCAATGAAATCATAAAGACTTACTGTAGCTTAATAATACATACACCTGTATAGAGATGTTATCAGTGTGAGGCTCTGGTTAAGGGCCCTCTGACCCCTCTGCTTCCTGGGATTGTACCCTGTAGGCCCTTGCAGTAAAACATCTCATACAGTATCACTGGGACATCAATAAAGTGAATAAAACATATAATACCTGGCAGTATCCTTCCTCCTGACAGGGGGTGCCAGGGGTCGTTGTCGGTGGCCAGGAACAGACACTCCGGGTCCCGCAGGAAACACGAGGCTTTGGCCAGTTTGAGAAAAGTCAGTTTATCGTCGTGTCCCACCAGCACCGCCTTGACGTCGGGGGCCAGGGCGCAGTCGTAGATGGTGGCGTCCGGGTCGTCGTCCTCCTCCACGCAGGGGATGCCCGCCTCCTGCAGCTCCCTGCGCAGCCCGTCGCAGCCGATGACGAACACCTGTCCGCGGATCTTCACCACGTCCCGCAGGTAGAGCGCGGAGCAGTAGGACGAGCTGAAGATCTGCTCCAGCATCACGTCGGTGAAGCCCAGTCGGAAGAACTTGTGCACGTAATTCTCCCGCGGCCTGGTGGAGTTGTTGGTGACGAACACGACGTTCTTCCCGCGGCGGATCAGCGAGCTCACCACCTGGGCCGCGCCGGTCACCGCCTGCTCCCCGTGCCAGATGACGCCGTCGCAGTCGAACAGGAAGAAATCCTTCGCCTCCATCAGGCTCCGGATCTGCGGACCTCGGATCTTCTGGCAGCCTTTGAACCCCATCGCCATCCCGGCGTTTCCCTCCGTCTCCTCCGTCTTTCACCTGCTAGTGCTCCGCCACGTGGAGAACTGGGTCATAATGTGGTGGAGAAGCGCGTGAAATCCAAAGTAAACAGATGAATGCGGGAGAACAATCACATCAGATCGTCGCTGCGGTCAAACTCACGCACACAGGACTACATAAACATTGACGTCTGGACACGCCCACGCCGTCAGCACCGGCCAATCGCAGCGCAGCACTTAGACCAATCAGATGTTGAGCAACGTCCTTTTAAAAAAATCAAAGTGCGCCCCCCAACGGCAGCTGATGGACACGTCACAGTATGACCTTCGATCATAATGTAATAAATAAATAAAACATGTGAACAGTGATGGAAGTTCACCTTAAATCAATAAAAGACACACCATCACAGCTGCTGCACTCAAAGTACAAGAAAGTATCCTCTGAAAAAAAGTAGTAATTAAGATCGTTACGTAAAATGAGGTGCAAACATAAAAAAGTTAAAAATGCAAAAAGTTAAATATTATCAATTGAATATACTTAGAGTAATACAAGTACTTGTTCTGTATAAAGAATCACACGTCTTTGTTCTGTTTGTGGCACAGGTTCTAGAATGATGAACACTAACTCACTTTACTTTGTAAAACAGAGTCATATTCAACCACATTATAACGTTTGGGTTGATTCAATCAGAATCATTAAACTTCCCAATCATCTCAATTTAATCAAAATCCTCAAACCTCTGCCTGAAAATTTGTATGCAGCATGAATGATTTCATTTGAATCAACATATTTAAAATGTGTCGTAGAGAAGAGTTTCTGTATTTTATAATCTTACAATATAATACATAAGCGTATGGCTTCACGTGTAAAATCTGCAAACTACAGAGTGGGGCAGAAGAGTAAAGTTGCACAAAATGTTAAGACTAATACATTGATCTTAAAAGTTGTAACTTTAACAGCAGTTACAAACAGATTTGTGAAAATAAATAATTAATATTTACAGATGACGTGCACTCGAAGCTCAGCATTCTTTTCTCGAGTCACCAGATGGAGCTATAACCCATGAGCAACATATTTGAGCTTCAGAGCGATGAGTGGTTAAAAATCCCAGCAACTCCATCACAAGGAATATCTTCATGCAGTCAGACCCTTTCTACAGTTTTGTCTCCTCATCAGGACTGTTAGTGAGTAAAGAGACAATCACAAGGGTTTCTCTTACAATCTATCAGAGTTCTCATTTCCTGTTTGAACTCAATCTTATGACCTTCATTCATTTCTGAATTTATTCAGACACAAAGCTTTGCTCTTAGATCCAAAGTAAACTATAGATCCCACTTTCATTCTACCAATCATTATATCTAAGACCCAGCAAATCAAGACAGGAACATTCTACTAAATACATTTAACACTAACAAAACCATGTGTTTTTTTATTTTGATTCCACCTACATAGATATTCAACATTATTTTTGCCACACCTAAAAAAAATCAGAAATTAGAATCAGAACATAACTTTTCTCCTCCTTAATCTACATTTTGTGCATGAAATGATGGTGAAATTATAATTATTTTACAATTTTCTTATCACTGTATTGAAATTGTTTTAAATTTGTATTGTCTGTAGATAAATTAAACAATTTAAACTAGATTCAA